AAGAGGAGCTTTTCTGGTTAAATAGAAATTCCTTCAAGTAGAATTTGAGGAAGGATGCTAATTAAATGTAGTCATCTTAGCTCAGGCCAGGATTTAAACATATTGGTTTGCCTAATAGTTTTTATTGATATGGGAGTATTTGCCAAGATGAGCCTACTTTAGATAAAAATTAATTCCCATTAATGGTGGGTGAAAAAAGAGACCTGGTTCTTCATAATTTAGTTTGGCTTGGTCTGACTTCTAGAATCCATTTCTTCCATTTTTGGTGTGATCTTTTCTTCTTTTAAATAATGTTATTAAATATATGGCAAAACATTTGTCAATTTCCAATGAAAATGCATCATATTCATGTCATGGAGTCAGATTTGGGAGAATCTATGAAATCATATAATTTCCTCATAGTAATATTTTATTATGGCTTTGCATAGACTATCCTCAAAGGATCTTGCATTATTTTGATTGCCTATGCAAGGTTTTTTACTTTTTAGTATGCTTTTATTAAATCTGTTGAATTATATTAACTCTTAGTTTTAATTTTACAGGGCCAATTATCCTTTCTGTGGATTACTTTGGTTAGGCCATTGGCTTTTCCTGGCCTTTTTCCTTGTCTTTTAGACATGTTAGCATCTCTCCCTAAGTGGCAAGAAAATAACCAAAAGTGAAAATCAAATGGATTGATTTGACCATTTGTCCAGTTCTGATTTAGAATTTGGTAAGAAAGGAGGTAGAAACCACTGACCAAAATAAGATATTTGGATTAGGATTATTTATTGTAAGCAATTTAGATTTACTGGAGGGAGGAGGGAAATTAAACAGAGAACTGGATTCTTCTTTCTTCTTCTGTTCAGGAATATATGCCTTTGGAGGACACTGGTGACTGCTGCAGTGCTATATCAGTGATTTGCCTCCTTTACCTTTTACACTATTCCATAATTTTTCCAATGCCAGCATCAAGTTTCTGTTAATGAATTGTTCTGAATAAACACCAGTTGCAAGTGCTTTTGTATTGGTCTCTGACTAAGGTAAAAACATCGTTTTTATAAATCAAGTCACATGAATGAGATAACATTTTATTATAATCAGAAAAATGGTTTCTTTTTTTCACATATCAAACCAATGGCTTTAAGGATAGGTATTTTCTATTTCTTAACCCTCCAAAACTCTGTATATTTCAGTCATAAATACATAGTGATCATTGCTCTATTAGCCTCTGGAAGGGCTCTTCTAGGTTTTGCCATTTCTTTTTTTAGAATTTTTTTTTTTTTAACTGCATCTGGTTACTTAAACTTTCCTCAACCATGCTCCTGACAGATGTATTTTTAATAAGACTATCATAATACTTTTGAGACTTATCTTGAAAATTAAAAGCAGTGAAAAAACATTTGCATCTCATCTTTAGACAAAATGTATTCCACAAACTCTGGTTTCACACTGATTGTGGGATAAAGGAGGGCTGGTTTTCTTTTCTTCTTTTTGGATTTTATTTTTGGAACATGAGCCTATCTGTGTTTAGAAGAAAAGCTGCCTGCATGCTGGGTAGAGAGCATAATGAATTAAGAAATTACCATCCCTTCAACTAGTAAAGTGATGTTAGAACAAGGGAGATGGCACCTCATTTCCTTTCCTGAGTCCTATGATGTTGGAATGTTAGTTATTTCTGGGA